CTCCTCCTCCTCCTCCTCCTCCTCCTCCTCCTCCTCCTCCCCACGCACCAGGGGCGCCCAGCCATGGGCCACACCAGCGGACGTCCCCCTCGCGCCACCACCGAACTCGGGGAAAGGCGGGCAGCGCCAGGCGGGACGCGGCCGTCCCCAGGCAGCAGACGCTTCCGCGCGCAATCGCGCACGATCCGCACCACGAATTCGAGCGGCGCCCCATAGGCAGCTGGAGATCAGCTGGGCGCCAGAACTGCACCGATTGCCATGAAGGAATCGAGTCCCGAGGGAAACAAGTCCTGGACCGTGGGGCACTGCCCCAGGTCAACCGCCAGCAGGCCCCCAAGAAAGCCCCAACGGGGCCCAAGAAGCCCCCAAGAGGCCCAGAAAAGGTGCTCGAACGGCCCCCAAGAGGCCGCACAATGACCCAACGTGATCCGTTTTGAATACAGCGTGGAGCTTCCCAAATAAACGCACGAAGCCAACGCGCTTCTACGGCAACGCCCACCTGAAGTGTGGCATCCAGGGCTCCCAAGGGGTCGGCAGTGCGGCGAAGGCAATGAATCAAATTGCAGCGCTCGCAGTATTTATCATCGCCCTGTCCGACGATTACAAAGGGGGAGCAGAAGCAGGAGGACCATGGAGGAAGAGGGAGAGAAAGAGCGGCAGACCCTGCAGGAGCAGCAGCAGGGGAGGGAGAAGGCGACGGGGAGGGGAGGAGGAGGAGGAGGAGGAGGAGGAGGAGGAGGAGAAGGAGGAGGAGGAGGAGGAAACAGAGGAGGAGGAGGAGGAGGAGGAGGAGGAGGAGGAGGAGGACCAGAGCTTACCGAGGAGGAGGAGGAGGAGGAAGACGAGGAGGAGGAGGAGGAGGAGAAGGAGGAGGAGGGAGGACGGAGGCGAGAGCAGGAAAGGGAAACGAGCGGAGGCGGAGGAGGACGAAGAAGATGACGACAATTACGACGGCAAGAACGGAGAAGAGAAAGAAAAAGAGCCGGCGCTGGATCTGCGGCGGGTCCTGACGTGGGCGCCTGCGTAAGTGCCGTCGGTACCGGCGTCGCCGCCGGGGTGCTGGAGTTGGCGGCGGGTGCTGGAGCTGGCGCGGGGTCTGCGGCGGGTGGCGGAGCGGGCGGCGGCGTGGCTGCCCGGGTGGGCGCCGGCGTGGCGGCCGCGGTGGGCGCGGGCGTGGCAGCCGCGGTGGGCGCGGGCGTGGCAGCCGCGGTGGGCGCGGGCGTGGCAGCCGCGGTGGGCGCGGGCGTGGCAGCCGCGGTGGGCGCTGGAGTGGGCGCCCGGGTGGGCTCGGGAGTGGGCGGGTCGGATAGGTCTGCTGGCGGCGCACAGGAGAAGGGCGCTCTGGGGCAAGAGGGGCGGCCCTCTGAGATGTCAAAGGGTGTTCTCAGGAGGGCTCGGATGGCCCAGAGGGCTTCTTAGAGGGCTCTTCTGAAAAGACCTCGTGCCCTCTTGCAGGGCCGACCCCCTCGCGCGACAACCATGACATGCACCAATACATCTCCAGGCCGAAAGGTTTTTCCTCTTGCATGGGAACGCAAGGATCCATTTGGATCCAATTACGTGTATGCGAGAGTCACGTGGACCCAATTTCTGTGTCTTCTGGATCCAATTTTTTGGCGTGGAAGCTTCGTTGATCCAATTCTTTTCCTGGAATGAATTTCTAACAATAATAATATTTCATACAAAGGACCCAAGGGGAAATGGATCCACGGAGCCTTGGACCTGCAGCCCTAGCTGTGATTCTACGGGGGAGGGGTTTCCCTACTACGGGGGAGGGGTTTCCCTATCGAGAGGCACAACGCACGGGGACGAGTAGGGAAACACAAACCAGGGGCGGGCGAAGAGGAAGATGAGGGAGGAAGGACGGAGAGGAGGGAGAGGACGACGACGAGGAAGAAGAGGAGAGACGAGAAAGAGGAGGGAGGGGCGGAGGAGAGCGGAGGAGGGAGGAAGAGGAGGGAGGAGGGAAGTGGAAGGGAGGCCTGAGAGGAGGAGGGCGGAGGGAAGAGGAGGAAGACGAGTGAGGGGGAGGGAGGCATAAGGGCGGGAGGAGGAAGAGGAAGGATGGACGAGGAGGAGGAGGAGGAGGAAAGAGGAGGGAGGAGGACGAGGAGGAAAGAGGACGAGGAGGGAGGACGGAAAAGGCGGATGAGGGAGGAGGGAAGAGGAGGGAAAACGACCGCGGTGCCCAAGTCGGGAGCTCGAGCGCCACAGCGAGCCTGGCCACCTCTCCGAACCCCTCCCATAACATGTCGTTGCTCGAGCGCCACAGCTGCCCCGGCCAACTCCCGCAGCCTCCATAACAGGTGGGTGCTCGAGCGCCACAGCGGGCCTGGCCAACTCCCGCAGCCTCCCATAACATATGCCGCACCCCACCTCGACGCGAGCACGACATGATTGCTGCGTCCGCATCCGCTAAAGTCAACGACACTTCGCATTTGTCATGTGGGCCTCAAGAGGAAAATCTCTCGGCCTGCTCGAGTATGTGTTTTCAATCCGCGTCCCCAGAAGTCCCGACCGCTGCCCCGTGGCCAATGTGACGTCACGGATCCGTGTTGATGGTCCGAAAAGGCCGATGGCCAGCCCCGAGGCCAAAGTCTAGGATGAACGCCCAGATTGCAAAAAAGAAAAACAAAAAAACAAAAACATAAACTTCTGAGATCAGGGACCCCCTTCCACACGCCGCCGATACTGGCCGAGGTGCTGCCGTGGGCGCCGAGGTAGATGCCGGCGGTGCCGACGTGGGCGCCGGGGTGGGTGCGGTAGGTGCTGGCGTGGGCGCAGAGGTGGGCGCCGACGTCTCTGGGGCTGCGGGGGAGGCGGGGTCTGGACGAATAAGACCATCCCCAATCCCCAATCCTCACCGGGGGAAACCGTTGCCTCACCGCCCGACCTACCCCCTCCCCCTCCCCCTCCCCCCTCTCCTCCTCCTCCCCTCCTCCCTCCCCCTCTCCCTCCCCTCCTCCTCCCATCCCTCCACCTCTTTTTCCTCCCTCCTCCTCCTCCTCCTCCTCCTCCTCCTCCTCCTCCTCCTCCTCCTCCTCCTCCTCCTCCTCCTCCTCCTCCTCCTCCTACCCAGACCTCCAAGTCGCTGAAACATCGGACGGCAAGGATCTGGCGCTGTCTTCGGCCTCTGGGAGCCCTCGCTGGGCCACAGGGCCGTCAATTAAACAGATGCTCGGGATGAACAGACGAGCGCGTTTTCCACTACTCGCAAGGTGACTGCTCGCAAATGGCCTGGATCCCCCGCGGAGGATCTGCGCTAAATTACATCAAAGCAAACATGTGTTTTGCGGGCGTTTGCGAGAAAGGCACTCTGCGAGCAGTGGGACGCGCCCGGCGAGTGAAAGGCCAGCTCGAGATCTCTGGGGGTCGACGCTGCGAAAAGTCACATCGGCGGGGGTCTAGCTCCCCATCCCTGCCAGGGGAGCCCTTGGCCCCACCGTCCGACCTCCCCCTCCCAGGCGGGGACGGGTGCATCCTCCTTCGGGTTTCGCAGCACTCGACGAGCGCGTTCCACTACTAGCAAAGTAACTGCTCGCAAATGGCCTGGATCCCCCGCCAGGGATCTATGCTAAATTACATCAAAGCAGAGAGGTGTTTTTCGGACGTTTGCGAGTAGGCACTTTGCGAGTAGTGGAACGCGCTCGGCGAAATTCGCAGCACCCTTCCCCACCGAGGAAGGAGTGCCGGGAGAGCCAGCTTACCCTGTCCCAGTAGGGGGTGGTGTTGGCCTGGTTCCGAAGACGATGGGAAGAGGGCGAGGAGAAGTGACAGGCGCGGCGGACAGAAGCTCCCACAAAAGCGATGGTCCCTCGATCGCACTCCCTGGGCGGGCCGACTCTCCTGGAATGGTGTTGCCGCTTCCACGAGCACCTAGCCACCCATGCCAGCGCTGGATCATGTGGCAATGGATTTCAGGAGACGTCCAGCGTTGGATGGCCCCACCACACCTACCTACGAGGGCAAACTACCCCGCCCACGGAATTGGACAGCTTTGAATACGCAGGGTCGGAGTGTTGGAGGTCGCACAGGAGGAAGGAGATTGGCGGGGGGTTACGGGATCACCCGTGTTGAACTCTCTTGGGGGCGGGCAGAAAATCTGAGCTATGATTAGATATGTTTTATGCACTACGCTGCCAAAACGGACACCGTGATGACACGCAAGTGGGATCATGATGGTGAAAAAGCTGGCTGGGCTGGTTGGGCTGTCTTGGGGGGGAGGCTTTGGAAGGCTGCCGAAACCACCTGAATTGAGGCTCGGCTGGCTTGGCTGGATTGGCTGGGTTGACCAGGCTGGCGGGTGCTGGCTGGGATGGCTGGCCCTGGGGCAAAGAGGGCGCTTGAGGGCCTCCGAGGCCACAAAAAGGCGCCCGCCATAACGCAAATGAGCGTGCGTGGGATGGATCTAGAATCCCACCTGCCATCTCGGCGCAGTGACTCGAGTGGAACTATCTCTCTTTCACCCCCCTTATGGGGCCGGGAAACGTGTCCCACTATGGGCACGGGGGACGCATGCAAGGACGGCCACTGGGGCCTTGGTTGGAGTTCCCTGTGGTGCCACGAAACGTGTCAGAGGCGTGCGGTAATGGATGGGAGACACGCATGTGAACCCCTCCTCTGGGGCCGTTAGTGGAGCTCCCAACGGAATCACGAACCGTGCGAGGGGCGTACTGTAATGGATGGGGGGGACGCATGCGAACCCTGCTACTGGAGCCCTGGGTGGAGCTCGCTATTTGGCCACGAAGCGTGTCAGGGGTATGCTGTCATGGGCGGGGGAAACGTGTGCGAACCCTGCCCCTGGGGCCTTCGACAGCGCTCCCTGCGGGGCCAGCTCACGGGGGGCAGAGGCGGGGTTGGGAGGAGGGCGGACGGGCAGTAGGAGATGCGACGCAGGGCACTGTCTCTTCAAAACGAGGACCCAACGCCACAGGATGGTCAGGAAAAAAACACAGTGGGCAACCATGAGCGGGGATCAACAATGATTGTTCAGGGGCGAGAAATCAGCACAAACTTACCCAGAAGAAATGCCCCAGCATTGTGACGTGTCCCCGTCCCTCCTCTCCCCTGCATTCCCGTGCCAGGGAGAATTGGGGTGAGGGCGCGAACGGCGCATTTTGTTCGCCCTGGGCGCACGTGGTTCGGTCAGGTCTTTGTTCGTGGCCAGACTGTCGAAAAGGTCCTTGGGATTGAAGTCCTCGTCTGCAAACCAGGCGATCTTCGGCCTGGGCACATTATCGCCCCAGTCCCTAAGCAACATGCCCGCCGTCACGTCCACCGCGCCACTCCTAAGAGAGGGAAGGGGGAAGTTCAACATGAACTCACGTAAAACCGACTCGCCAAAACGAACGACGAGCGAGCGAGCCCAGAAATGTCCACCGACGTTGTTCATGACCGCACCCCGGCCGTCAAGCAAGATTCTAGTGCCTCTGGGAAGACACGCAGAAAGCTCTTGCTGTGGGGTACGACCCGCCAAGAAGCTCTTCGACGTTTCGAGCCTCGCATTGCAAGAATTCTGAGGGTCTGTTCGCCCAACGAGTTCTCGTCCTCCCCCAGGACCTCCGAAATTTGTGCTCGCCACCCATCCCGTCCTCCGCCCCGTCCTCCCCCCAAGCTACCCCTCCTCGTCCTGCTCATTGTCCTCGCCCTCCTCGTCATTCCTTCTCCCCCCGCCTCTTCCACTATCCTCGTCCTCCCTATGCAGCCTCCTGAATTGTTGTGTGAGAGAAGGGTCCTGTGGACAACGGGTGATGGAGCTGCAGGCTTCCCCCAGGACCAATCTTTCGCACTGACCCGTTTTTGACAGCTCCGGGGCCCGGGAAGGCCCCCGAGGGGCAGAGACGCCGAAAGAGATAATGACTCCACTCACCTCGGGACCTCGTTCTGCTCTCTGTGGTGGCTCGGACCTGGGGTCCTGGCAGAGTGGCTGGCGGAGCCATGGCGAAGCGACCCTGGCAGGGTCCAAGCGTCGCCACCCCCTTCTGCTCAGAGGGGGAACACGGAGACCACCGCCACCAAGAACCCACTGGAGGGGGACTACCCGCCCCAATGCGTTCTCGGTGGCGATGGCCCATGTTTCTCCTCCGCACCCACCTCTTCAGGCGTGCCTGCGTCCTGCGGACGGGGCCACCGAGGCTACCCCAGCGGAGCGCGGCCACCACCGCGCACACCGCGACCGCCGGCACAGCGACTGCGGGCGCGGCGGGCAACTCTCCGTCCTCCACCTTCTGCTTGTCCTCCTCGACCTCCACATCCACATCCTCCGCCACATTCTCATCATCATCCTTCTCCGCATCCCCCTGCTCCCCCCCCTCATCCGCCCCCGCCCTCCACCTCCGCCTTCCCCCCTTCTGCCCATCTGGCAATCCCCCTTCTCTTAAAACTCATGATACTGATACATCATCATCACCACCACCACCACCATCATCATCATCATCATCATCATCATCATCATCATCATTAGCATCAGCATCAGCATCAGCATCATCATCATCATCCTCATCATCATCCTCATCATCATCCTCATCAGCATCATCATCATCATCATCATCATCATCATAATCATAATCGTAATCGGCATCGTCATCAGCAACATCATCCACATCATCATCATCATCATCGTCATCATCATCGCCATCATCATCAGCATCCTCATCATCAGCGTAATCGCAAGCATCATCATCGCCATCATCATCATCGTCACCATGATCATCATCATAATCAGGATCCTCATCATAAGCGCCAGCATCATCATCAGTTTAGTGAAAATAATCATCACCACCATTATCATCATCATCAGCACAGCAGTCATTATCATCAGCAGCAGCAGTATCAGCATCATCGTCAACATACTCAGCCTCATCATCGCCATCATCACCATCACCATCATCATCGTCCTCACCATCACTTTCAGACTCATCAGCATCATCATCACCACCATCACACCAACGCCAATCCCCACCCGAGCAACATCATCATGGTCATGGTCCTGCTCAGTTCCGTCGGAAGTGGAGGAGTGAGAACGAAAAGTCCCCAACCAGAAAAGCAGGTCGTGTTTGGTTCGTGTCGTGCGCGCGGGCGCGGCGAGGCCGCACGAGGGCGGCGCTAAGTCGGCCAAGGGGGGGGCCACGTCGGACAAGAAGGTTCTGCGCCACTGCCTCGGAGCGCAAGCTTGTCACATGGCTTGTCGTGGTTGTCCCGTGGGTTCTCACGTGGGTTGTCCCGTGGGTCCGTGGTTTTCGCTCGGGTTGCCCCATGGTTGTCCCGCGAGCTGTCCCGTAAATTGGCCCGTGGGTTGTCTGGTGTGTTGTCCCGTGGTTGTCCCGTGGATTGTTCCATAGGTTAGTCCGCGGTTGTCCCAAAGGTCTATCTTGCGTGCACCAGTATCTTTCCCATGGGTATCCCGTGGGTTGTCTCCCGTGGTTGCCCCGACTCAACCCGCATGCAGACCCGAGTACAATCAATATGCCAATACAAATGACAACCACAAGTAAAACCTGTAAACGTATACTGTGTATAAAATATCATAATGAATACGGTACACATCTCTACATGTATACACATCCCAATCGAAATGCAAAGCGATACGAAATCCAGAGTATAGTCGGACTGCAGATCGACATTCACATCGACTTGGTGGTTGTTGCAAACGCTGAGGGCGAGCATCAACACGTTCTAATGCTTGGTCGCTGGAGCACTTCTTCACAATCTCCTGTTGACGTTGTTTCGTCGTGTATGAGCCTCCGCCACACCATGATATTAAATGCATATTCTTGTCAATTCGATGGACTTGCATTGTAGGCTGCAATTGCTGAACCGTTTCAAGGTCCACACGGCTGGCTCACAGGACGAAAACCTGGCAGTTAAAAGTACAATGCACAAAAGCTGTATAACAACCAGAGAACGCCCAGCATGCTTCCAACAGCCACAAGTACACCGAAACACAAATCGAACCGAAATTCGACATGCAAATCCGAATGCAACTCGCAATCCAAGGCGGAGCGCAAATCAAACCGCAACCGAAACGCGATTCGAAATGCAAGCTCCTCACTTCCCCGAACCTCCTCATCACTCCACAACGGGTGGTCTACGACGTACTCATCTTCACCCAACCCCGGATACCATCATCCATCCTTACGGTCCCTCGCCGCATTCCCTCCCGCCAACCCTGCCTCCCATTTTTGCCTCTGCGGCCACCTGCGCGGCAGGAAGACGGGACGGTCGAGCGGCGCGTCAAAACCGTGCCTCCCCCCTGGTATAGAACCCGGCCCTAGGTCCTACCCAAGGCCCTAGGGTAGCCTTGGGCAAGGCCTACCCCAGAACGTATGGACAGATTTGACGTACGCGTAGGGCATAGGCGTAGGGGAAGCCTAAGGGAAAGCCTAGAGGTAGGCCTAGGGTAGGCCCAAGGGAGGGCCTACGGGTAGGCCTAGGGTAGGCCGAGGGGAAGGGCCTAGGGGCAGGCCTAGGGTAGGCAATGGGGAAGGGCCTAGGGGTAGGCCTAGGGTGGGCGTATGGGGAAGGGCCTAGGGGTAGGCCCAGGGTAGGCATATGGGAAGGGTCTAGGGGAAAGGCCTAGGAGTAGGCCTAGGGAAGGCCTAGGGGAAGGGCCTAGGGGTAGGCCTAGGGAAGGCCCAGGGGAAGGTCACAGGGGTAGGCCCAGGGTAGGCCTAGGGGAAGGGTCTAGGGGTAGGCCTAGGGGAAGGGCCTAGGGGTAGGCCTAGGGTAGGCCTAGGGGAAGGCCTAGGGAAGGCCTTCCCTCCGGGTTCTATGAGCCCCCCTCTTTCAGTCCTCCCCCGCCCCCCGCACTCGTTCCCTCCGCCTACCAGGCGTTGGCAGGGGCGATCTCATGGCCAGGGAGGCCCCAGGTGGCCCCCGACTGGGGCCTCATCCTCCTCCGCTCCTGCGGTCTCCAGGGGGTCCCCGACGTCTCCCCGATGTTTCCCCAGAGGTCTCCCCAAAGGTCTCCCCAAAGGTCTCCCCTGTGAGGCTTCCGGACACCATCAGTTCCTCGATCCTCCCTCCGCCGCGCAAGGCAGCCTCGATTCTCGATCCGTAAAGTCTCCGCGTTTCCCACCTAGTCCTCTCACACCACCAGACGTGTCCGTGAACTGGGTTGTGCATTTCGCCTGAAGCCTCCTCGCCACGTACGTTCCTGAAGCTTGAAATCCGCAACCGCTCCAAAGATGGAGCCCAAATCGTTTTCAAAATGTGGCGCCTGGCCTAGCGCCGTGTACACTCGTCTTCAAAGACATGCAAAGTGACAAGAATCGAAGCAAGTTCCTTTTCAAAATATGGCTCTCGACTGGCGCCGCGCAACCTTGTTTGAAAAACCTGCACTGGTTGCATCGATGGAGGCCGGCTCCTCTACAAAATGCAATTATTCGCCATAGCGTCGCGCACACACACAAGACCCAACACTCACCATCACGTGCAAACAGCACTGTTCGGTGCACATCCATCCGACCCAACCTTCACCATTTTGGATGCAACAGAACGATACTCACATCCATACGACCCAACCTGCGCCATCTTATGTAAACGACTGCCCATCCAGTTTACATCCATACGATCCAACCCTTATCACTCTGTTCAAAAAAACATGCGCACCTCCATCCGACCCAACCCCACCATCCAATGCAGAATACATCACTCAACATACATCCACACAACCAAACATGCATCCTTCCACGTAAGAAAAAATACGCGCGCATCCATCCGACCAAACCCTCACCATCCGATGCAAGAGTTACACGTTTGTCCACATCCATCCGAACCAACACTCACCATCGTATGTAAAAGAAAACTCGGCGCGCAAATGCAAGAGAACATGATCCACCGCCGCTTTACTGTGGAATATTCCCCCCCTCTTCCTCTGGAGCCTGGGGTCCCCCCCCCTCCGAAAATCCCCCCTTCTCGACCCCACCTCCCCCCCCCTTCCCCCGGCAAAACCCCCTTCCCGCCTACCCCCTCCCCCCCCCTTTCCGGAAAACCGGGCGGGTCACTACCGGCTCGAGAGCCCCACCCCACACCTCCAGAAAACCGGGGGGGGCACTACGGGTCCCCCCCCGCTCACCGCCGGTAAACGACTCCTGGGTTCCCACCACCGTGCTCACCACCGCCCTCACCCGCTGTCCACAGCACCAACGTCCCCACCACCACTGTCCCATTGTCCCCAGTGTTCCCACCACTGTCCCAACTGTCCACACCAATGCCCCCATCACTGTCGCACTGTCCCCACTGTCCCCACCACTGTTCCCACCACTGTCCAACCCACCCCAGTGTCCCCACTGCCCCCAACACTGTCCTACTGTCCTACTGTCCCCAATGTCCCCACCACTGTCCCACTGCCCCCACAGTCCCTGCCGCTGCCCCACTGGGCTGTCCCACTGTTCCCACCACTGTCCCGACTGTCCCCACCAGTCCCCAGTGTACCATTGTCCCACCACCGTCCTCATCACCGCCCTCCCCACTGTCCCCACAACCACCGTCCCCACCACTGTCCAACTGTCCCCACACCACTGTCCCCACCACCGCCGTCCCCACCATTGTCCGGCTGCCCCCACCACTGTGCCACTGTCCCCACTGTCCCCACCATGTCCCCGCTGTCCCCACCAGTGCCCCCACCAGTGTCTCACTGTCCCCACTGTCCCCAACACTGTCCCCACCACGGCCCGACTCTCCCCATTGTCCCCGCTGTCCCCGCCACTATCCCACTGTCCCCACCAGTGTCCCACTGTCCCCACTGCCCCCACCGCTGTCCCAGTGTGCTGTCCCACTGTCCCTGCTGTCCCCGCCACTGTCCCACTGTCCCCACTGTCCCCACCACTGTCCCCAGTGTACAACTGTCCCAGTGTCGCACCACCGTCCTCTCCACCGCCCTCACCACTGTCCCCACCACTACCGTCCCCACCACTGTCCCATTGTCCCCACCGTCCCCACCACTGTCCCACTGTCCCATCACCACTGTCCCCACCACCACCGTCCCCACCAATGTCCCACTGTCCCCATTGTTCCCACCATTGTCCCAGTGTCCCCACACCACTGTCCCCACCACGGCGGGCCCCACCACTGTCCCAGTGTCCCCACCACTGTTCCATTATCCCGAAGTGCGGCAATCGTTTGCCAGCGGCGAGGCGGGGGGGGGTCTGGAACCAGTGGTGACTTACTGGAAGGGGGAGAGGGGGGGGGGGATCGAACCGGTAGTGACCCCCCCCCCCGGTTTTCGAGTGGGGGGGGACGTGTTTGGAACCCCCAGTGACCCCTCCCGGTTTTCCGCCAGCAGCGGTAGAACACGCTCTTTCGCAGATGTTGATCTTGAACATCGGCCCACCCCCTGGCCCCGAAGAGCCCGTGGGCACAAAAAGCAAAAAAACATCAATAAATCGATTGCAAAAACATGATAAATCGATACGTTTCGGACCTCGCCGACTCCGTCCGGCTTTAGACCCAAGTCCCCCCCAGGCTGCCGCAGGCGTTCCAAGACGCTCCCAGGCGTTCCCAGACTATACACTCCCTCCCCAAGCGTTCCCAGCTCGCCGTCACCACCAGCAGTAACAGCATCCACATCCTCATCTTCATCATGCATCGTCGCCGCAGGAGGCATCAAGGAGCAGATGAATTCAGATCGCGTTGCCGCGTAGACAACAAAGGGTGTTCACGATGGGGCTCTCGCTATGTTGGCGCCGCGCACCATCGCTTTACACACCCAAACAATAAACAACAGGTAGAGGGCGGGTCGCTTTCAAAAGAGGCTCTCGCCCCGGCGCCGTGCATACTCGGTTTCCATATTGCCCTTGACTGCGCGAGTGGATGGCGAGTCGCTTCCAAAACGGTGGGGGCATTGGTCAAGAAACCCGTAGAAACACCAGGGCCTTGAAGCCGGTGAAACTGAAATCGTGGATCGGCCACGGATATCGCCGCCGCCCTCATCAGATAAGGAATCCTTGAAGGTCTGCAGCCTCCTGGGCACACTCCTTAACGACCGCTTCCAGTGTATTGGGTCTCCCCGTTGGCCTCGCGCACATTCGAATACAAAGTCCCCCATCCACGCTCACTTGACCCTCCTCGACCTCTACGACCCAGCGTTCAATATTGTCCAAAAGCTAACACGGATGGAAGGCAGTTCCTCTTTCGAAACGGGAATATAGCGTGAGACTTCCGCGAAGAATGCATCTACAATTTGACCTCCTGACACGCTCAGACGGATGGAGGGCATGTTATTTTCAAGACGAGGCTATCCCTGGGCCTCTTCGAAGGGTTCCGTCATGGAACGTCCGCAGAGAATACGTCCACGACTTTGACCTCATGCGACGCTTAGACGGATGGAGGGCACGTGCTTCTCAAAACGTGGCTACCCTGGGCGTCCTTCAACATGGAGGGAGGCAAGCGCCCTCGTCTGACTGGCGGACCGACTGGCCGCCTGTCTCTCAAGGAGGGTGCGCCCACGGTGGAAAAAGAGACTTGCACGGACTTGTTAGGAGGGATCTTGGGACGGGAGGGTATACTGCAGCATCGGTTGATGCATCTTTGGTTTACTCTGGGCATCCTCCTCATCCTCCTTCTCCCCCGTCCTCGATCCTGGATCCTAGAGCCGCCCGAGGCTCCAAGGTCGCCTGAAAGCTGGGAGCATCCTGGGCCAAAAACGCTCTCGTCGACAACTGGCCCGGCCAGCCCCAGGAACCCAAATGGCGCCCACTGGCCGCTGCCGCGGGCGCCTGTGACGATGCGGCATGCCCGCGGGTGCCGGCTGGCAGGCCGGAGAGGCGGGCCCTCGGCGAGCAAGACCTGGGCGGAGGGGGAGGACGAGGCAGAAGCGGATGAGAGGGACGACTTCTGGCTGAGGGGCAGCGTTGGGAAGGGGGCCGGCTGAATGGGGGAATCATCGAGCTTCAATCAGCGATACTTCGCCGAGAGATCGGCGATAGGCCCCCGACAGCCGATCCACACACACACACACGGGCTTGGGCGGGGTAGGCTGGCGGGCCCCTGTCGGCGAGGAGTGGGCGGTTGGGGGTCGATGCATCCCCCCCTCCTGAGCCTATGCATCGTCCCCTCCTGGGCCCATCCCCTCTGAAAGTCGCCCCCGACTAGCGCAGGGCAGCAGATGGACGAATGACGGCAGGCAAGATGAGCCCTATCGAGGGGCGAGAGGCTCCACCCGGCGAGCGGCGGCGCCACGCGCCCTGCCGTGCACCGTGCGGCACGACGCAGGCTGTTCACACTGCGCCGCCACGGGCTCTGATCCGCCACGAGGCGCGAGAGAGAACGGCGGCGAGCGGTAGGACGCGATCTGCTGGAAGCCTCGTCGTGAGGCAGGTCATCGCCCTCGGTCCTAGATGCCGACTCCCGATCTGCAACTACTTCGAGGACGCCCCAGTTCGCAGGGCTCGCCAGGGCATCGCTCCAGTCCTCGGCTCGCGGCGGGGCCCGCGCGAAGAGCGTCTGCAAAAAGCATGGCGCAGCTTCGCGAGCGCGACGAGCCAGCGAACTCTGCTTCGAGCTGCTCGTTGTGGTGCTCAAGACGGTCCACGATGCTGCGATCGATCCAATCCTACGGTGTGGGGCATCGAGTAAGGAACCCTTAGATAAGGAATCCAGGGTCTGGAAGCCAGTGAAACTCCAATCGTGGATCGGCCATGGATGTCACCGCCGCCTTCATTCTATAAGGAATCCTCCAGGGTCTGCAGTCTCCTGGGCGCATTCCTTAACCAACGCCCCCACCGTAATCCCGGGGGCCTGTCGTGGGTGTCTGAGCTGCCGCGAAGCTGCCGTACCCTGCGCCCGCCCGTGTCCCGTCGGGGCACAGGCCCCACTCGCAAGTCATAGCAATACTTTGAGACTCCTCATGCTCTGCCCCACGCCGTCGCGAGCCGAGGGAAAGAGTGGGAGGAGGAGGCGGCGGCGGAGGAGGACTGGAGGAGGAGCAGAGGAGGAGAGTAAGAGAGAAGGGGAGGAGGAGGAGGAGCAACGGGAAGAAGAGTGGAGGAGGACAGAATGGAGGAGCAGGAGGAGGAGGAGGATGACAAGGGACAGGAGGACAGGAGGAGGGATCCCCAAACGACCGCCATGTGTCTACATGTCCTTGGCGACCGCCCCAAGAAAATTCAAAGGCCATGGCGACAATGAGCTTGTCACGACGGTTCCCCTGCTGCTGCTCCTCCTCCTCCTCCTCCTCGTCCTCCTCCTCCTCCTCCTCCTCCTCCTCCTCCTCCTCCTCCTCTGTTCCTCCTCCTCCTCCTCCTCTCCTCCTCCTCCTCCCTCCTCCTCCTCCTCCCTCCTCTCCTCTCTCCTCCTCCTCCTCCTCCTGTTCCTGTTCCTCCTCCTCCTCCTCCTCCTCCTCCTCCTCCTCCTCCTCCTCCTCCCCCTCCTCCTCCCTCTTCACCACCTCCTTCTCACCCAGGAGGAGCAGATTTCAAAAGCCACTCGCACGTTGTCGAAGTTTTCGACGGGTTGCGGGCGCATTCAGTGGTGCGAAAGTTCGAAAGCGGGTTCTGCGCTCGGATTTCTTTTATATATATATATATATATATATATATATAAATAAATATATATATATATATATATATATTACCCGTCCCCTTCACCCTCCTCCCCCTTCTCGTCCTCCTCCTCCTCCTCCTCCTCCCCCCTCCTCCTCTTCCTCCTCTTCCTCCTCCTCCTCCTCCTCCTCCTGATCCTCCTCCCGTGAACCTCCTTTTCTTCAAAGACGTTCCCCCTGTCGCACCACCAGACGTGTCCGAAAAACGGTCCTTGCCTGTTGGCCGAGACTTCCTCTCGGCTTACGATCTCGAAGACGGAAGATCCAACAGACTCACGGGTGCAAGGCAAACTGCTTTCAAACCAGGGCTTTCGCATTGATGCCGCGCGCACACTCTTGCTGACAGAAAGCGCGGTGACGCGGACGGAGCCGGATACGTTTTCCACAGAGAGGGTCTGGCCGTGGCGCTGCGCTCGCTCGTCTCAGAAGATCAGACATAAAAACAGATGGAGAGGACCGTTTCAGAATGGGGTTCCCGCTTTTGCGCCGCACACGCTCGTCTCAGAAAAAATCAACGGATGTGAGGCGAGACGCTCTCGAGATGGACCTCTCGCCCTGAGGCAGCACACACGCGTCCTCTTTGAACGCAGCAGCTACACGTGTGGAGGGCGCCTCCTCTTCAAAATCAGAATCTCCACTGAGACTCCGTTCAAGCTTAGCACCACCGGTCTACAAGTGTGTAGCAGGTACACTGATGGAGGGCCGCCCCTCTTCAAAAGCGGGCTCTCCCTGGAAACCTCGTTCGAACTTCCTACAATACGTGAACAGTAGGGGGGGAAAGTGAGAAAAGGCGGGCCTTCTCAGAAGGCTCGGAAGTCCCCCGGCCATCTGGAAAAGTCCCCGAGCATTCCCCGAAAACACGGCGAAGACCTGTCAGAAGGCGCAGGGGCTTCTGAGAAGTCCCGCAGCCTTCTGAGAAGGCCTTCTCGTTCTCATTTCCCCCCCTCGCTTGCCGCCGACCTGCAAGACTCCAGAGGTGGCCAACAGCGTGTGTCAAAGAAGGGAGCTCCCGCCCGAATTGCGGGGGCCGATATGGGGGGGGCACTCGTCTCTCCGGGGGGGAGCTTCGCGCAGTGAACCGAAACACGTGTGGGACTACTTTGAGCGTGCGGCAGCATCGCTGATACATCTTGGGTTCACTCTGGTCCTCCTCCTCCTCCTTGTCCTCTGCCAACTCCTACAATGTCACGTCATGGCTCGACTACCCCCCTCACCACACACAGCTTTCCTCCTCTTCATCATCCCCCTCCTCCAGACAATCCGCGTTTATCTGCAGCTAGCCGTTGGTTCTTGTTTGATATCTCTCTACAGTCTGGTCGGAAAATGAGCTGGATGCGGAGGAGTGCAGGAGGAGCAGGAGAGACGAGCAACAGGAAGCAGGAGGCAAGAAGCGAAAAGGAGAGGAGCGGGGAGGAGGAATAGGGAGGACGAAGAGAAGGAGGAGGTGGAGGAGGAAGAGCAGGAGCAGGAGGAAAACGAAGAGATGGTGGACGACATCTCCGACGCCGACGACGACGACGACGACGACGATGACGACACCCCTGGGACCAATTTTTCACACTGTACCGTTTTTCGAAAGGCCATCCAGGAGCCCGAAAACGGTGAAAAAACCTCAGGACCCGCTTTCACGTTGCACCTTCGGGGGGCATTGTATGTCGCATCGCGACAATCAGCTCAACCGCGTCAAACTTGCCAAATCCACGTGAAACCGCGTCGGATCCAGACCAAACTTGCCAAATACGCGTCAAGCCGAGCTGAATCTGCGACGAGTCCACGTCGAATCCACACCGAGTCCGCGTCGAACCCGCGCGCCTGGCACAAGAAAAGGCAGCAATCGGCGGGACAGCTCTCGAAGACGCAAAAATAACCGCTTCCCCCGTGGCAAGACTGAGGGGTAACGATACGGGGGGACTGGCTCAGGGGGGGGGGAACACCGAACTGGAATTGGCGATACATCGCCGATAGGTCAGTGATCGGCCCCCGATAGCGAAACCGCACGTTCCTGGAAGGGGTGCGCAGGCCCCTTATCGGCGATGAATGGGCGACTGGGGGTCGATGGAGCACCCCCTGAGCTTGCTGTCCCGTACGGTGGCCCCTGAACGGTATCCACTCCCCCGATCCCCACCCTCCCTGGTAACTTTCAAATCATAACTTGAGCCTCCGACGGCCGTTCGGGACGTTCCTGGTACACGCGGAACGCCATCGGCTAGGCGCGGCTGATGGAGACCACCCCAGCTTCCAAGGCTTTCGAAAAACTCCGAACACATTCCCAAAGCCCCCTCGAGCCTATCCTATCCCCCCTCACATTGCCCCTGATCCGGGGTCCAAGACCGATCCCTGGACCTCGCCCAGGGTGCGCTCTGACCAGAAATTCGAAGCGAATCCAGCCTCTGCCACGGGGGCGCCCCAGGACGATCAAAACCGTCCAGACAGAGAACCGCGAAGCTCGAACCTCGAAGCCCAGACTCGAACCTCCAACGTTACCTCATGGGGGCACGAAGACCTCAGGCTCGCCCTCCTCGCCGGCGAGCAGGCCGGCGCCCTCGCCGCGCGCGCCGGGCATCCTCGCGCCGGGCCCGCGGGCCCGGCGACGGGCGCGCCGGCCTCGGGGAGGAGCGGAGCCGTGCGGCTCGCCGAGGGAGGGGGTCTCGGATGTGGTGCGCCCGCGGCTCGGCCCCCCAACAGCGCTGGCCGCGGCATCACGGAGGTGATGCCGACCGCGACCGTGGGCCGACACTGCCAGCCCCCACTGTGCGCACAGAGGCCTGGTGGAATGCCATGTGGCCATGTGCTGTCTGGTAGGGTTTCAAGGAACCTTCTCGAGCTCCCCCCCGCTAGTCACGCAGTGTCGCTGGCACCGCCCCCCCCTCCGAGGCTCCCTGGGCGCCCCGACGCAGCCCTGACACCCTCCGGAGCTTTTTCCAAGGCTTGCAAGGCGGCCCAAAGAGATTACCAAGGCCGCCAAGACAGCCCGACATTGCCTCAAGAGACTCCAAAGGGGCCCAAGAGGCTTCCACGACACCATAGAGAAGGCCAACAGGACCCTCAAGAGGGCCGAAATCATCCCAAAACCTTGGGGTGTAATTTTCCCATGTGTTCCAACGATGCGGTCTTGCTGGGCCTAGGACAGACATGAAGCTTAAAAGCGCCCACTTTAGGGCCCAATGTCCGACAGACGGCCCTCAACACAAAAACAAGAGAACCCCGAGACAGCCAAAGAGAACCCAATGTCAAAGAAAACCCCAAGAAAGGAGGAGGAGGAGGTGGAAGAAGGGGAAGAGGAGGAGGAAGAGGAGGAGGAGGAGGAAGAGGAGGAAGAGGAGGAGGAGGAGGAGCAGGAGGAGGAGGAGAGAGGAGGAGAAGGAGGAGAAGGAGGAGGAAGAGGAGGAAAAAGAGGAGAAAAAGGACGAGGAGAAGAAGGAGGAGCCCAACAAGGCCCAACGACCGATCAAGAAGGTCCCAGGAAGGTTCTGAGACACATCCGAGGCACTCACCTGACGGCTGAGAGGGGCCCAAGACGACCCAAGATGGCCCGTTCTCACGTGGGCTGATCGTCTGGGCGACACTCGAAGCGTCGCAGTTCGTAAAGGCTTCTGGGCTGTGCTAGAAATGTCGCCACACAAAAAGAATGTTACATGTTACGGCCTCTTGGGCGGCGGTTCAAGCGGCCTCTTCATCCGGTTATCCCGCGGCTCGTGAAGTGATCGCTTCGGCTTCCAGGGAACATTGGGACAACAAGTGTTACATGCTACGTCCTGCCCCCTGATCATCATCACCATCATCATCACCGATCAGAATCAGCATCATAATCATTATCATCGTCATGGTCAGCATCATCAACATTATAGCATTTTCATCGTCATCATCATAATGATCATCATCATCAGCAGCATCATCATCATCATCATCATCATCATCATCATCATCATCTCCATACCTCCATCACCTCCATCATCTCCATCATCTTCATTTCCCCCATCATCATACTCCACTCCGTAACGGCCTCAAAAAATCCCGACTTAGCCCCAAGACGGCCAATGCGTCACACATGCAAACCTTCGAGACGTCGTTCCAGCAGTCGCCATCCAGACGATTGGGCAGGATGACCCTGAATGGACAAGACACTGGCGCCACAAGCGAACGCTCATGATCATGACCACTCTCGACGCTGAATCAAACTTGGCTACTTCAAAACAAACACATCGTTGAATTATGCGAATCACAACGTCACTTCTCTAATGTCGCATTGGAGAGGCCGCAAACAAGAGCCGCAATTTCGCCTGGAATCAACCACGTTCGCGGCATACATATACATACGGTTTACATAGATGTGATAAACACATACATGTTTACAAGCACAATGACCTCACCACCAACACATCCCTGAAATGACTCGAGGGAAGAGAGAAAACAGCCAAACACAAGGCGAGCAATGAAAACGAGAAAGACTGGGACGCTGGACACGTGATATTTTAATAACATCACTGACACTCTGAGAAAATGACGGGGGGGAAAAAAAACAAAAAACAAAAACAAAACAAAAAAAAACGGGACGCCCAACGACAAGAACAGCAGCAGTCTAGGAGAACAAAAGAAACGTAAAAAAACAGAGCGAGAGAAAAGGAAAAGGAGGGACGGGGGGAGTGCGCGAAACTACACAACGGAAACGGCGGAGAGAACGCACACACCAGGCGACTAGCCCGAAACGGTGCCCGACAAGGCCACATACAAAATAAATGCTCTTCCTGGCGCCACTCGCTCCACTCGTGCGTCGAAGCTGCGTCGAACCTCAGTCGAACCTGTCGAATCTGAACCAGAGTCGAACCTGATTCGAACTTGAAACCTTCGAACAGATCCATTAGGTGGCCCCCAAAAAGTTCCCAAAACGAGCATCGAATACAAAGGAACGCAGACCCCTGAAGGAACGAAAAAAGTGACAACGAGAAAACGGCCAAGCAAAGAGCTCTTGTCTGGAGCCAGAAGCAGGAATGCAAATGAGTGACTTCCGAACTGTATCTGAATGCATTCGAATTGTCCATTACAACACCGGAAGGGCCAAACTATCTCAAATTAAACTTTTTCGGCTGTAAAAAAAACAAGAGAAAAGTAAAGGGACGAGAAAGGGAAAGAGCAGTGGAAAAAAAACAATCAGCTGTGGAGAAAAGCCCAAACATGCTCAAATCTGCGTACCCCGCGACACTTGATCGATCCCTTAAGCAAAATTGGAAAACGGTTGAATGCACCGATAGACTCAGCAACGCACTAAACTAAAACCTCAGAAACAAAAAAAACATATACCGCAAAAGAATAATAAATAAAAAAGTATCGAACCCCAGAAAACAACCAAATGACAAAAACCAAAGGAAAAAAAGGGAAGGGAAGCCGCAAAACACCGACATGCACGGCATGTTTTTGGTTTTTTTCAATTTTTTGTAGTCTTCAATATATTTGATAAGTTTTATGTTTATGCTGTCTTTATTTCTTTATTTTTTAATATTTCTTTTCCGCCTCGGCACGCGACAACAACTCACCAATGACACATCAATCGCATTAGCCTGATCTCTGCTCGTTTGACGAGCAAACAGGTCGGTAGGGGGGCCAGGGGAGAGCAGAAAGGGAAGGGGGAGGGGAGGGGAAAGGACGAGGGCGAAGCCGATTCACGCCGGCGGCCGCCAGTCGCGGAAAGGGAGCAAGGGGTGAAAAGCAAACGGTTGCCTCCAACTGAGCACGGCGTGCCGAGTCTGGGAGGTGCTGGCGGACGCACTCGCACAAAAACGCTTGCACGCAGACTGGAATTCCTGGACGGAACGCCGAGAAATAATATAATCTCGTAGGATGTTGCACAAGCGGATGGCACCGAGAAGAGACCGCAAAAAGGAAGTCAGGAGTGGAAGCGACCAGTGCTAGCACTCTCGCAGGGATAAGATCTGACCTGTGCTGCTGTCGACTCGCCACTGCTGGAGCATCTTGCAAGCAGACGCGCAAACAGGAGGGAGGAAGGAGGGGGAAAGAAAGACGCGGTGTTCGGAACACAGCTTCTCAGAACGAGGCAGCAGCTCCGACAGGCCAACCTCTTAGATTTAGTTTAACCAATATTCCCGATCATGTGTTGGGTCGTTTTGCCGCAGCTCGCAAATTCTCTCCTCCCCTCCGGCGGTGTCTCGTGAGGGGCGATTGCATTCTCAGGCGAATTGGCGATGAAACACGCTATTCGCAGTCGGGACTGGTCGTTTTTTTAGCTCGGGGACCCGTGGAAAAATGCTTGCGTGGATATATTATTTGAATATTTAGCTAAAGTTCATTCCGAAAACATGCATTCAGGTGTCGAGCGATATTTCTTGGTTGGATGAGAGTTGTCTCGAATCGATCCGTGCGAAGGCGTCGGCAGCGGGAACGTCAGAATATGCGCATGCTGTCTGCGATTGCACTTCGAAGATGCTTCGGGCTCACACTGTTCACACAGCCCGCATCGAACGAAGCTTGAATCCTTGCGCCCCGGCCTTCTGGGCTGTTGATTCTAGAAGAGGGAACCAATTCTTATAACGAATGTTGAGATCTCCAATCACCATAATACCGATAACGAGAGTGCGTACGAGCTCCACTTAGTCTCAACAGGGGACGGTACCAACAAACAATTAAAACAGACCATAATTCAGAATGGTATAAGAAGCAAATAATTTCAGCAGAAACGGACTCGAAAAAGGGGGGGGGGGGAACAATGCATCTAAAACAAATACTGCTACTTCAGCCCCGTTACAATTTCTGTCGCGTCGACTCAGGACAGTACCCTCAAACTGCCGTCATGCACAATAACAATCCAATGTCGTCTCGATTGAAAACAGGGGAGACGCAGACAAAAAAGAAAGAAACCGCCCTCGAACTCAGCTCGACGGGTAGCAAACCCATCCACATCATGACTGATTATCTGATTCGATTTCGGCCCGGCGTAGACATGCCGAACTCTACACGAAGGGCGCCTTGGAAAGACGAAGCAAACTGATCAGACATGCTTGGAAATGTCCAGAGAGTTAAGGAACCGGAACCTGTCGACGTTCAAACTCAACCAAATCTCTTTCATCTCGTCTCAAAGGGTCTACCGCCTGAGCGATAGCGACTTTAGTTTCCGGGATGATTTGTGCATGCATGGCTGAATAACCGCTCTTTCTAGCCATGTTTATTCATAATCTTCAAAATGTCGAAAAAAAACTTCTCGCCAACTGACGTTTCCGGCAGAAAAACCGGGAGCGCAGGCGCCGGCAGGGGGGCGAAATCCACACCCACTCCCGGGGGACAGAGCCCCCAGGACTCCCATCCGAGAGCTGCTCCCAAGTGCACCACCAAAGACTGCCGGAGGGCCGGTCTCGGGACCTGCATGCCTGCGGGGCCTCGCGTACTGGGAGTGCCACCTGCAAGGCCGGTTCCAAAAACGAAGCTCCGCTCTGCGCTCGACCGCACTGCAGAAAAACGGCACAAATGAATAGAAACACTAGACAAAGTAAAGAAAAATAGAATAATGAAAACTAAAATCAAGATGACGGGAAAAAATCATTGCGAATATCCTTACGATGAGGTTTTTCTTCGCAAAAACACGACGATGTGCGTGCTGACGCAGATCAAATAGGAACTTATGGAAAACAAAAAAAAAATGCAATGCTGAAACACCGAAACGGGAATGGCTATGGCTGGTCTGTCCTGCGACGCATTTCTTGAACTACTAATAAGGTACGGGGCTGCAAACGATTATTGAATCCCTGCCTGAGATTGTTCACATTTGCTAACATTAATGATATTGTATGATAGAAATTATATGGAAAAATCAGGAGAAAAAAATATAGAAATCATATATCAAATTCAAATAACACATACTATTACACATTCTGGTCGAAAGAACAAGAAAAACATGGAAACCAAAACACGCTAATCACGCACATTATGGTGAAACTGCTCCAGTGCGATTGGATGGCCGAGTGCATCGCCATGGGATCGGCGACGGCATGGGAGGTGGTGCCAGAGGAAATGCGGATACCAGCGAGGACGAGGCGCTCGGCGAAGGACTTCCAGAGCTCTCCACGTCGCGCTTCGCGACGCGATCAATGTCTCCATGTTTCTCCAAAGTTGCGGCGCTGCTCTTGAAAAGCAGCTCGGGAACGCGCGGCGTCCCCCTGTCCACGGAGATCGGCGATGGCGAGGTGGGCCGCGTCAGCTTCTTTGGCGACGGCGCCCATGTCGGCGATGGTGATGGTCGCCGTCGAAGGACAGGTAGGAGGCACCAGCAGTGGCGTCGCTAGCGAGAAGAGAGGCGAGGCGCCGATCCTAGTGCCAGACGGCGCGGGCGATGCTGCGCAGAGTCATAGCACCAGCTTCGCGGTTGGTGGGTGGGTCGTCATCTCGAACACCAGACGAGTGCATGGTGACCAGGGCGTCGCGAGCGTTCTGCGCCGCTACGGTCACGGCATGCTTCATTGCGCGCCACTTCGAGACAGGGCCACGCGAGTAGAGGTTAATCATGGTCACGCAGCGGTCGTAACCTGCTGTGCTTGGCGTTGAATGAAGGCAGGAATGCCCCGCTCCGCCGCGGGGCGCTGGGCGCGGGGACGGAGCCGAAGGCGGGGCACGTTGCGGTCGCGAACAGGCTTGCCAGCGCGCTCGAGAAGGCGGCCGCCCACGGCGAGGCGCGCCTCGGGGTGGGGCACTTGAAAGGCAGGCGTGAAGATGAAACAACGGTCGATCGTGGCTTCGGTCTTGTCGGCGGAGCAACGGCGCGTCGTGGACTTCGTCGCGGCCTCGACCATGGTGGAGAACATCTGCTTCCAGCATACTGGTCGGCACTGGTACCTGTCCGCGGTGGGCGCGCCAACTGGGCGTAGCATGCTTTTGGGCGGCAGCCCAGAGATGTTGAAATCACCTATCAAGACCCGGCTGCGCGCGTCGGGGTTGTCGTCGAGGCGGGCCTTGGCAGCTGACCGCGCTGCGGTGAAGGGCTGGCGGTCGGTCGCAGTCAGCTCGTGGTTGTGTATATGGAATAAAGTGGTCTCGTACTTGCGCTCGGCGTCCAGGATGCGGATCTCGGCGATGCGGCACTCCACGGTCGGAATGAAGTCGCGCCGAGGTCGTTGACCCGCAGGCAAGCCGAGCTCGCTCCTGTTATAAGGGGCGAGGAAGCCAACGCCACCACCTTTCACGTCGACATCGTTACAGGCCGAGTGGAACGAGATGTAAGGGTGGTGAGAGGAGTCGGCGAAGCTCTGGAAGTCAGCGTAGTTGCCGCGTGCTTCTTGCAGAGCAATGACCGCGCGCTGCCTCATGCAAGGCAGCAGGACGTTGCGCTTGATGGCGCGGAGGGATGAAGAGCGGCCGAGCTTGAGCGTTCCAGGAGACGATGTCCATGCCGTCTGGTTGCGGTTTGACGAACCATGGTGACCACCTCCTGCTAAAGCCATTGCACGGAAGCCACGGGGTCTGCGAAGGCGGCGGCGAGCTCCTCACCGCGCCCGTCGTGACCGGACGCGGGATTACCAGCAGGGCCAGCACGGCCAGCAGCGTCAGACCAGCGAATCCTGGTGGGAGCCTCTGGCGCCGCGCCAGCGATGACCTGGACGATGGGAGCGTTGTTGACCGAGAGGTATCGGTTGGCGCGGCGAATCCTGAGCGCGATGTCGGGGTGCTTGGCGGCGATGAGTTTGCTGAGCTTTTTGAATTGGACTTCCTGTCGAACCCTGCGAGGGGACTTGTCGGCCGAGACGCAGAAAGGTGCGGGACCATCAACTGCGGCCAAGGTAGGTGTCCTCTAATCGCTTCCGAGACGTAGAGCTTGATGAAGAGCAGCAGCAGCAGGAATAGCCAAGATACTTATATTGAAAGTAACGACATGGTTTCCGTCCATGCGGTAGACGAACTTTGGTATTTGCGGCGAGAAGATCTGAGCACGCGCTTAGGGCCGTAGCGTGAACCCTTCTTGGGATCCACATCAGAAAGTAGGCGTTGGGTATGCCTTTCCCCAGTTCCCGAGGCTTTCGGCTGCTGGAGCATGCAGGACTTCTGCATCACATTTTCGGTCCGCTTGAAGCTCGGATCGATTGAAGCTGTTTGAGTTGAACCATACTCTTTCTTGTTATTTCTTGCAGTGCTCACCAGTGTGCGAATTGATGGTCGTTGATGAAACAAATCCAGGCCTCATGGCAGAGTTCATGGAGATTATTCGAATGATTTGGCTGCCATGGAATCGACTTGTTTTTGGCGGATGGCCCTGAAATTCTTTCAGATGCATTCCTGGGAAGCCTGAAGCAAGTAGTTCCTGTGCGAGGAAATTAGGATCGAGTCCCGCCTTTAGTTCTCCTTTCCTGGTCCGCTGTCGTCCCCTCATCTGCCCCGTGCTGCTGTTGCTCTCCTGGGTCGTCCACGTGAGGGCCTCATGGCGAAAAGGGCTTGCACGAACAGGTTTTTAGAGACCACCTGCCCGTGGAAATGGCGACGCCGGGTGGCTTCAGAGTTTCACGGCGCCCGGCGGCGGTAACGTCGGCGCTTACTTTTCCTGCCCATGTACCTCTGATGTGCACGGCGTCTTCTCTTTGAGTCCGAGCGCTGCAAGATCGTTGGTGGCATCACCACCCGTCGAACCCATCTGTCCACCTTGGCCGCTGATGAGAGGAAGCCCGCGCTAGTCTCGAGAGACCGCGCGTGAGATGGGGGCTGACCGCAGGCGAATGCTGCAGCAAGGAATATAAAGCTCGACACTGCGGGCGCAGTGAAGGCGTGAAAGCGGGTCCTCGCTGGCCCTGGACCAAGGGTCTCCGTGCTGTGCCACGGGGCAAAAACATCTGGAGCCAAAAATGGTTACGGAGACCAAAACGGCTACGGGAGGAGGAGGAGGAGGAGGAGTAGGAGGAGGAGGAGGAGAAGGAGGAGGAGGAGAGGGTTGGGGGGGCAGCAGGGGTACGGTGGGTTCATGCCGTGGTGACCTGCGCGGCAGTTTCTGACACTGCGTGGATCGTTCAGCCTTGAGCGATCGTGGCTGTCCGATAGCGCAGATCGTCCTGTGCTGGCCGTCTCGAGGCCGCTGGCGGCGTCCAACCTTGAACACACGCGCTGACCTGAGATCCGACGTAACGAACAGCTGCAACAGTATGGTGAAACTCGACCGGTGCCCTGCACCCCATTCTCTCCTGCCCTTTTCTCTGACCGGATCGTCCAGGAGGGTCAGATTTTGAAACGGGCTAAAACGTTGCAGGAAAATGCGACGCCAATCAGAAAGGGGGGCCACCGCCGATCAAAGCACGAGCCTGCCGTAGGGACAGAGTGCGATCGTGCCCGAGTCCTTGCGCAAACGGTCATTTTGATAGTCCGCCTCGAAGACGGGCTGCTCCCCGTTCCGAGTAGACGGCTCGCAACATTCCCGCTCGAGCCTGCGCCAGGAGCTGCGGCCACACAGGACAAATGAACCGTCAGATTCCCCAGATTATGGGAAAATAGGGAATTGAGAAAAAAGAAAGAGAATATAGGAAAATATTGAGAATGCTGCTATTTGCAATATTTATGTGAGTCCCAGATGAAATAGATGATATCGGCAGAGAATGGCACGGGAAGGACAAACCTGCGTGAATCAGGCCGAAGCGGAGCTGAATCAAAAAACGCATGTAGGAAAAAACACTGGGGAAAACACACACAATACAAAAGCACGTCTTAGGGGGGGGGGGGGAAAGGACATGTGGGACAAAAAAACCAGGAACTCCCACGTGGTTTTTTTTCCGGCTATAGTTATGCTCGTAAGATGCTGGAAGACGGAGGGACGCTGTGGCATCAGTTACTACAGGCGAGCTTAAATCTCTATTTGAATACAGGCTGAATCGATGTGATATGAGAATTACTGATGGATTCGAGGCACTCAGATTGGAGTCGTGGGCAGTTGCATGGAAAGTTTAGCGCTTAGCAGTGCTTTACCACCTGGAAGAGGTGTAGTGTTACATCGTTGTTTACAGCATAAGCCCGGACAAATACCTTAAACAAGGGAGGGTAAAGATAATATTCGCACGGCCAGCGGGAAGCGATCGCAGAAATTTTATCGCACGTATGCGAACCGACAAGTTTGTGTATTGGTCGGGGACGTCTGAAAGCCGACACTTGCGAATTTACTCCGTTTTGGGCCTCATTTAGGCTTTGGAGCAAAAGAGGCAAAACAAAAGGTCGACGAGCCTTATCTGCGGCTCTGTCCGAAGGAATTTTGCCAGAAAAAACACTGGCGTCTTGGCCTGGCGCGAACGCGACTCCATTCCCAGGGGTGAGCGAGCACGTTCCCAGCGAGCCCAACGGGGTGGTCTTCGATAAAGTTAATTGGTTCCCTGTGGTCCACTTTTGCTGTGCTGCTTAACTGATTACTTGGTTCCCGTGTGTCCTTTGGCAAATGAGGCTGAGGGAGCGCCTCCAGGCCCGGGGCCCTCTTGGAGCTGTGTCCGAGGCTGTTGGCGCTTCAGGGGGAGGCTTCAGCCTGGTAAGGTGGCTCAGGAATGTCCGGGCGAGCAGGAATCCTGAGGCTGAGGTTTGTGTTTGAGCTCTGGGGCCTCTGAGCTCTCCTCAGGTCCTTCAGAGTCCTGGCTGTGCCAAGGGGTCCCGGGGCTGCCTTGACGCCCAGAACTTTGTCGAGGGCTTGAGCTGTCCTGGGATGAGGGGAGGCTTTGAGGCTTGTCGGGGCTCTTGGAGAAACTGGGCTCTTCTGGGCTCACTTGCGACGCCAAGGTTAGGCCACTGCGTGTGATCGAAGCTTTACGAGGCGCCCCAGCATGATTCTACTCTCTTGGCCATGTCGGCCTTCTTGTGCGCTTATGATATTTTAAATCCTCGCTGGAAGGTTCTTGGGGCCTGTTGGGGCCTGGAGGGGTTATTGCGGCCTCTTGGGTTTTCTTGGAATCCAGAGGGGCATGGACGGGGAACTGAAAAATCGGCCCCTGCCTCCGCTCCAGGGGCTCTCCGGGGCGCTTCTGGGGTTGAGCAGGCTGCTTGGAGGCTCTTGGGTTCCTTGAAGGGCTGAGGTTGGCTGAGCGCAGCTGTCGGGGGTCCTGAGGCTGTCTGGGCTTTCTTGGGCATCTGGGCTGTCTGGAGGGCGGGAGCCGAACAGGCGGCAACCAAACAAACTTCATTTCCCAAGCAAAACTAAGGCTGTTGCATGTTGAGGCTCTCCTGAAAGCGTCTTGGGGAGGCTCGGGCAGTCTGAGAACTCCCTGGCTGAGGCTGAGCTGATGGGCGCTCTGGAGGCTGAGGAGGGTGACCGAGGGAGAACCCGAAAAAGGCCGCCTGCCTCCGCTGGGGAAGCTCTTGGGAGTGCGGGAAGGCAGGCTGAGGCTGAGGCAGGCTCTTGGAGGTGAGGACGTGAGGGCCGTCTGATGCTGAGGCAGGACTCTCTGAGGCTGAGAGGCGTTCTTTGGGGCATCTTGGGGTGTCTGGAAGCGGCGGGAAGCCGAACAGGCGAAAACAAAAAAAACGTAAAAAAAAAAAAAAAACAAAGGAAAACTACATATTATCCCGGCAAAGCCACCTAACAGCGATGTGTAGAAGCATATCTGAAAGCATTCCCCTGAAGATTCAGATGAAAATCCAGTTGTCGAATTCTGCTGTTCTCGCAGTCGTCGTAGTCGCATTCGCGATGACAGTCGCAGCGGCAACGGCAGTCGCAGTCACAGCCTCAAAGCCTCGCCTGCCTCAGCCTCAGCTCAGCCTGCCTCAGCCTCAGCCTGCCTCAGCCTTCAGCCTCAGCCTGCTTCAGCCTCAGCCTCAGTCTTCCTTCAGCCTCGGCCTCAGCCTCAGCCTGCCTCAGCCTCAGCCTGCATCAGCCTCAGCCTCAGCCTCAGCCTGCCTCAGCATCAGCCTGCCTCAGCCTCAGCCTCAGCCTGCCTCAGCCTCAGCCTCAGCCTGCTTCAGCCTCAGCCTCAGTATGCCTTCAGCCTCGGCCTCAGCCTCAGCCTGCCTCAGCCTCAGCCTGCCTCGGCCGCAGCATCAGCCTGCCTCAGCATTCAAAATGTTGCCCAGGAATGGAGTTCTGGGAACTAGAAGAACACGAAGTGGCCTACAGTTGGCTCCGGGCATTCAAAATCATGCCCAAGAATGGAGTTCTGGGAACTTGAAGAGCACGAAGTGGCCTACAGTTGGCTCCGGGCATCCAAAATGTGGCCCGGGAATGGAGTTCTGGGAAGTCGAAGAGCACGAAGTGCCTACAGTTGGCTCCGGGCATCCAAAATGTGGACCGGGAATGGAGTTCTGGGAAGTCGAAGAGCACGAAGTGGCCTACAGTTTGCTCTGGGCATCCAAAATGTGGCCCGGGAATGGAGTTCTGGGAGCACCAAGAGCGATTTTGCGAGGATGTCCAAAGCGATTTCGGCTTCGGCGGCAGCCTCCCCGGGTCCCGCCCAGACCCCCCTGAGGAGTCATGATGCTCTCTTTTGAAACCACTAGAAACCTATCAGCAAAAGCTGTTAGGTAATGTTTTATGTTTCGGGCTCTCCTGGAAATCCGCCGACCCTGTCGGCGTGTGTGAGGGGCTTTTCCGTTCGAGCCGTCATTTCCGTCATTATTAGTACTCGTCGTCTCTGTCCTTCCCTTTCCCTGGGAGACCTCTTCCCCTGGGCTCCAGCCAAGCCGACCTTGAGCAACCTCGTAATTGAGTCGAAGGGAAGCCCCTTCCCTTTGATCCCTCCCCCGCCGGGAGGGGGGGGGGGTGGGTAGCGAACCCCCCCACCCCGGTTCAGATACGAAGCCCCCCCTGGGACTCCCCTCTTCCCCTGGGTTTCCAGCGGTCCAGCAAGCCGACCTTGAGCACCCTGGTAATTGAGTCGACGACTTGAGCAAACCTCGTAATTGAGTCGAAGGGAAGCCCCTTCCCTTTGATCCCTCCCCCGCCGGGATGGGGGGGGGGGTAGCGACCCCCCCCCCCGGGTCAGATACGACGCCCCCCCTGGGACTCCTCTTCCCCTGGGCTCCAGCCAAGCCGACCTTGAGCAACCAATGGGCTCCAGCCAAGCCGACCTTGAGCAGCCTCGTAATTGAGTCGAAGGGAAGCCCCTTCCCTTTGATCCCTCCCCCGCCGGGAGGGGGGGGGGGGTGTCGACCCCCCCCCCGGGTCAGATACGACGCCCCCCCCTGGGACTCCTCTTCCCCTGGGCTCCAGCCAAGCCGACCTTGAGCAACCTCGTAATTGAGTCGAAGGGAAGCCCCTTCCCTTTGACCCCTCCCCCGCCGGGAGGGGGGGGGGGGTAGCGACCCCCCCCCGCGGTCAGATACGAACGCCCCCCCCTGGCGGGACTCCTCTTTCCCATGGGCTCCAGCCAAGCCGACCTGGAAGCCCAACCCTCGTAATTGATTCGAAGGGAAGCCCCTCCCTTTGATCCCTCCCCCGCCGGGGCGGGGGGGGGGGGTGCGAACCCCCCCCCCGGGTCCGACCCCCCCCCTGGGACCTCTTCCCCTGGGCTCCAGCCAAGCCGACCTTGAGCAACCTCGTAATTGAGTCGAAGGGAAGCCCCTTCCCTTTGATCCCTCCCCCGCCGGGAGGGGGGGGGGGTAGCGACCCCCCCCCCCGGGTCAGATACGACGCCCCCCCCTGGGACTCCTCTTCCCCTGGGCTCCAGCCAAGCCGACCTTGAGCAACCTCGTAATTGAGTCGAAGGTCGAAGGGAAGCCCCTTCCCTTTGACCCCTCCCCCGCCGGGAGGGGGGGGGGAGGTAGCGACCCCCCCCCCGGGTCAGATACGACGCCCCCCCCTGGGACTCCTCTTCCCCTGGGCTCCAGCCAAGCCGACCTTGAGCAACCTCGTAATTGAGTCGAAGGGAAGCCCCTTCCCTTTGATCCCTCCCCCGCCGGGAGGGGGGGGGGGGTCGACCCCCCCCCCGGGTCAGACGCGACGCCCCCCCCTGGGACTCCTCTTCCCCTGGGCTCCAGCCAAGCCGACCTTGAGCAACCTCGTAATTGAGTCGAAGGGAAGCCCCTTCCCTTTGATCCCTCCCCCGCCGGGAGGGGGGGGGGGGTAGCGACCCCCCCCCCGGGTCAGATACGACGCCCCCCCCTGGGACTCCTCTTCCCCTGGGCTCCAGCCAAGCCGACCTTGAGCAACCTCGTAATCTCTTGCTGCGCATTGCGAACAGGGTCGGCGGCACCGGCCGTCAGGCCTTCGCAATACTTTTGGGAGCCTCTCGGGGCGTCTTTTGGGCTTCCCGGACGTTGGGGCGCCATATTGGGCGTCTCTGCTCTGGCGGCTTCTGGAGGGGTCATTGGGGCGGAGAACCCGAAAAATCGGCCCCTGCCTCCGCTCTGGGAGCTCTTGGACCGTCTGAGCGCTCTCTTGGGGGGCTCCGAGGCTGTCTTGGGGCGTTATTTGGGACCTCTTGGGCCGTCTTGGAGCGGCCTTCGAAAACCCTAGGAAAACAACTGATTCTTTATGTTTCGGACTTTTCTGGAAAGCCTCTTGGGGGCCTCTCGGGGCGTCTTTTGGGCTTCTTGGGACGTCGGGACGCCATAGTGGGCGTCTTGGCCGTTCAGTCGGCGACTCGTGGCCCTCTTGGGGCATCTTCCGGACCCTCTTCGAGCCGCCCATGCCTCCCGGAAGCGCGTCTGCAGAATTGCGGCCGTCTTCCGCCGGCTTCCGCCGGGGTTCCGCGCGTGGTCGGGGCCCTGTCCAGGGGGGTCCCCCCCCAGACCCCCCCAGGGGGACACACAACGGGAACCCATCCGCCAGGTCGGGGGAAAAACTACAAAGTCTTCGTCGGAAATTTTGGGCGGCAATAATTAAACCCTACACATGCAAGTCAGATTTATGAAACGCCAGCTGGGGTTCAGAATCCGAAGCAAGTCTGCAGCCATGTAAACCCGAGCGAGCGTCAGATACCCCAGCGCTGATTGGACCCACAGGGGTAGAGTTCGAAACCTGTCCTAGAAATGCCGGAGTCGAGCCGCATCGGGCCAGCAGAACTCGATATCGACTACGAATTGGCGGCGCGCAGAGGGGGGTAGGGGAAGGGGGGAAGGCTTCTTAGAAGCACCCCTGCTTCTTAGAAGGCGCGGGCCTTCTCTATAGACGTCAGGCCGAGGCCTTCTAAGAAGCAGGGCGCTTCTAAGAAGCCTTCCCCCCTCCCCCTACCCCCCTTTTGCGCGCCGCCAAACGAATATCGAGTGTATCGGCTCCAGGCGGGCCGTGGCCTGACGTAGACCCGGGCACCCGGCGGCCACGGCACGGCCCACACCTGCTGCCGGGGGGGGGGGGGGGGGAGCGCGGCGCGCGGAAGGGGGCGCGCGAGGCTTGCGGGGGCCGAGGGGGGAGGGCCTCCGACGAGCGAGCGCGCACCTTCCTCGGGGGCCGCGGCATGGCACCTACACCCCCTTGGAGATTGAAGGCAACTCTCGCGCGCTGTCCGTCTCTGTGTAGGCTCGCCTGCAGGAGTCCTGGCTCAGGTGGTGGAGAACTGGTCCAGAGACCCCCTCAAACACTGCCTTTGCAGTGGTCACGCCGTGCGCGGAGTGTCCTCTGTATCCGCATGGCTTCCTCTGCTACTCCAACTATCCAGCTGACTCCCTTCGGTATCCACCTGGCCAAATATCCGCATGGCCCCCTCTGTATCCGCATGGGTTCCTCTGCAAACCCACTGAGTAGAATCGAGTACAGCACGGTAGAATAAAGTATGAAATCATAGAGTAGAATGAAGCAGAGTCGAATACAGACAAGCAGATCGGAGTAGAGTAGACTAGAGCACGAGCACACTGGCAAAACACATGTCCAAATAGTAAAGCAATGCTTAATAGAATAATGCTAGATATATAATAAAACAGAATAGAATAGAATATGAAATACTACAATAGAGTACACTATAATACTGTATAACATATTGGAATACAATAGAACATAATATACTATAATAAAATTATGTGTCAAAATATAATATAAAATATTATGATATAACTGAATTGAATTGGTTTGAATTGAATCGAATGGAACATAATAGGATAAAATAGAACATAAGAGACTCGAACTGGACATACGATAACCAAATATACTATACTACCATAAAAAAGAATATAATATAATAGAATAGAATAGAACAGAATAGAAAAGGAAACAATATAATATAATCGAATAGAAGGTAACAATATACAGAAGAGTTGACAATGATAGAAGAAGCAGATCCAAGTAGAGTAGAACAAACCAGGAATATAATAGAGAAGAGTAGAGCGTAACATTCCATGGCTGCATAGGGCAGAGCAGCGTATAGTAGGGTAAAGTAAAGGAGACCAGACTAGAGTAGAGTAGAGTAGAGCAGGAGTAGAGCAGACTAGGCCGAAGCAAAATGAGGTAGAATAGAGGAGAGGAGATGATAGGAGAGAAGACCAAAGATGAGTAGGGTTGGAGTTGACTAGAGTCAGGTAGAAAAGTGCAGGATAGGAACACAGTAAGATAAGAGTAAAGTATAATCCGCCGACCCCTTGTGGGTCCCAAGGCGTGTGAGATTCTTCCCCCCAATAACCCCCCCACAAAGGCCCCAAACTGGCAATTCGACCCCCCCCCCTCGGTGGCCGAACACGGCCCTGGACCGAACTCATCAGGGGAGGTCCCGGCTACCCGGCCTCGCGCTGGAGCTCGAAAACAGCTCCTAAAGCTGCCCACGAACGGTCGACAAGAGCCCAGAGAAGACGGCCAGAGAGGCCCTGAAGACGCCCCAAAAGAGCTCCAAGAGGTCTCCCCAGAAGGCCCTGAGAGGCCCACATCGTTGATTGTCCGTGGTTTTTGTTTGATGTTTTCTGTTTTCTCCCTTTGTCGGCTTTGCCGACGCTTCACGACGGCCCAAGAGGCCCCGAAAACCGTTCCAAGACAGCCCAAGAGTCCCCAAGAGCGCCTCAAGACGGCCCAAGAGGGCCCCAAGGCGGCCCAAGAGGCGCCCAACAGGGCCTAAGAGAGCCCCAAAAAGCTCCAAGAGGTGCCCAAATGGGGACCCAAAACTTAAAAATCTAACTGTCCGTCCCTACACGGCCCCAAGACAGCCCCAAGAGGCCCCAAGAGGCCCCGAAGAGGCCACAAAGAAGCCACAAGAGGCCCCAAAGAAGATTGAAGATGCCCCAAAACTGCCCACAAGAGGCCTCAAAACTGCCTCCCAGAGGCCCCCGAGAGCTGGACCACGACATCTTCCCGAACACTCCAGCTCCACCTCTGACCCGCCACCCAGGAACGGTGGGGGGATAGGCCGAAGGCCACATATACATACACACATACCTACAGACATACCTACAGACCGACCTACCGACCTACATGCATACACACATGCATGCGTGGTAACATACACACACACACAAACATACATGTGTACAGACATGCATACGTACATGCATACATACATACATCCATGCATGCATGCATCCTTGCATGTATGCACATATACATGTATACATACATGCATAGGTGCACACATGAATGCATGCAAGTATGCATGCGTCCATGTATACACATACGTACCTACGTACCTACGTACACACATACGTTACATACAGACAGACAGACAGACAGACAGACATACAAACATACCTGCATGCATACATACTTAGATACATACATACACACATGCATTGTATTGCATCACGTTGCATTACATCACAGTACGTTACGTACCGCACAGTACAGTCGAGTACGTCAGATTACCTTGCAAGACACACATACCTCAATACACACATACATGCAAGGAGACACCTACATTTATATATATATATATATGTCCCTACATGCATAACTATAAACACACATACATACATACGCATACATGCGTGCATGCATGCATGCATACATACATGCATACATACACACACATACATACATACATACATACATACATACATAGATACATACATACATATATATATATATAACTACACACATGCATGCATGAATACATACATAATACACACATACATGCATGCATGCATGCATCCATATATACCTATAAATGCACAAAATCAAACGTGTGTGCGTATATGTATATATATATATATATATAAAATGTATGTATGTGTATATATATATATGTGTGGTAGCGGGCAGGTCCCGTTCGCCTCGCCGTGACTGCAGAAAGACACCCAAACATGATCGCGTCGCAACCAAAAAAACCTTACGGAGAGTGATTGCCCGTTTTCGGTCTCTGGGGGGGGCCCGACGGGCCCCGGGACCGTGAAACCACGACTCAGGATGAAAAACGTGCCTTGGGAAAAGGGTCGGGACTTCCAGGGACCCCTCACTGAAAAAGGTCAAGACTTCGCATGTCTGGGCACAAGCCCTGGACTCAGAGTTGGCCTGCCTCAGGTCGGTGTCGATGCACACCACTGACAACACAGGAAACGCACGCGCCTGACCATGCGCACGACTACAGCCCCCCAGTCCGCGAGGCCAGCCTCCCGTTACAAGCGCTCGCGCAGTGCATGCTGTCGAAAACCACGACAAAACAACGCGCGAGACGGTCGGGAACTTGTTCGCTCAGGCTGTCGCGGCGGCGGCCTCTCTGCGGACGGACAGCGTCCCGCTCCGCTTCGCGGGACGGGAGGTCGGGAGAAGCTCGGGACCTTGACGCCTGGATGCGGGACGTTGTTCGCGCGTCGCGCCGAGGCGTGGTCGCCACATAGGTGGCGTGCAACCTCCTGGCGCGTAGCCGACGTGGCGTGCCTCCTCCTCCTCCTCCTCCTCCTCCTCCTCCTCCTCCTCCTCATCATCATCATCATCATCATCATCATCATCATCATCATCATCATCATCATCATCATCATCATCATCATCCATCATCATCATCATCATCATCATCATCATCATCATCATCATCATCATCATCATCATCATCATCATCATCATCATCATCATCATCATCATCATCATCATCATCATCATCATCATCATCATCATTCTCCTGCTCTTCCTACCGTTATTCATCCTCCTCCCCCTTCGATCGATCTGGCTCACGCGGCACCCCCACAGGTCCCCAAACAGCCCCCCAGCGGCTCCCAAACTGCCTCCAGGACGCACCCATGACTCTTTTGCGAGGTCCCAGCCCTTACCCACGAGGCCTCTCAAGGGTAGCCCCACAGCGAGGTGTATCCTATCCTTCCTCCTCCGCATCCTCCTCCTCCTCCTCCCTGTCGTCCCCTTCTTTCTCCACTAATCATTATTCCTCCTCCTCCTCCTCCTCTTCTCGCTCCTCCTCCTCCTCCTTCTCCTCCTCTGCCTTCCATAGGTACGGCTTACGCCGCACCACTTTTTGTACCCCTGGAAACATCCACCTCCTCCTCCTCCTCCTCCTCCTCTTATCCTCCTCCTCCCCTCCTTTCCCTCTTCTCTCCTCCTCCTCCTCCTCCTCCTCGTCCTCCTCCTCCTCCTCCTCCTCCTCCTCCCTCCTCCTCACTCTCATTCTCCCCCCCACCTTCTCCCTCACTCCTCCTCTCCTCCTCCTCCTCCTCTCCTCCTCATCCCCTCCTCCTCTCCCCGTCCTCTTCCTCATCCTCTCCTCCTCCTCTCTTCCTTTCCTCCTCTTCCTCCTACTCCTCTCCTCCTTCCTCATCCTTATCCTCCTCCTCCTCCTACCTCTCTCCTCCCCTTCCTCCTCCTCCCCTTCCTCCTCCTCCTCTTCCTCCTCCTTCTCGTTTTCCTCGTCCCGCTCAATGTCCTCTAACCCCGTGTCCTCGTGTCCTCAGTCCTTTTCCTTTCTCTTTTCGGGAAATACGGTCCAAGCGGCACCATTGCAGAACTTCTGGAACCATCTCGTTTTTGTTGCACCCACGCCCGCTCCTCATCGCCCATTTCCTGAAGGACTCACGAAACAAGAGCTCGACGGTCCCTCACGATAACGCGACTTGCAACCAACGCTCCAAAGACACGAAACCTTGGAACACCTCACCACACTGGCGGCGCCAACTCCACCCCACCCCGGCGGTTCGTCCAGGAAGTATCTCAAAGGTCCAGAGACGCTTCCAGAAAGACCAGAGAGACCTCAGAGCGCCAGAAACAAACATCCGAAACCCTCTCAGAGGCATCCACGAAGGTCTCCGGACCACCAGGGCTCCTTAACTGAAGTCCTCATGTTCTCTCCTATTATGTATTGTCCTCGTCATCCATTTCCATAGCTCTCTCTCTCTCTCTCTCTCACCTCCCTTCCCTTTGTACGCCTGCGCGGATCCGAGCACTCACATGCTGTCGCGAAGACGTTTATGGGCATCAAGCGCA